CATAAATATTTTTTAGGCCATGTAGAGAACTATTACATTTCCTTTCTTACACATTAAATTTTTTTATTATAGCTAATAACTACGTCATTTTATCCATGTTTAGTGTGGCTCTTTTAAAATGTGGGCCCCAAATTCTTGGAAACTCTTCCCATTTGATAGGTGAGATCTACAACCCTCCCCTTGAATTGACAGGAGACCGTGGAAGTGACTGTGGGACTTGGGAGGCTTAATCCGAAGACATGGTGCGGCTGGAACACTTGCATTTGGAGTTCTCATCAGACAGGTAAACAGTTGGACTACTCTGCTGCTGCCGGGCTGTGAGAAAGCCAAACTAAATGGAGGGGCCATGTGTGAGCACTCTGGGTGGTCAGCAGCCTGGTTTCTTGACAGCCCAGCCCAGGTGCCAGGTGAGAGTGGAGCCTCCAAACAATCCCAGGCCCCAGCATTACTGAGTCACTTCTAGCCACTGGGTCTTTCCAGCGGAGGCCCCAGAAATCACAGAGCAGTCACCCCCTCGGTGCACTGTCCAAATTCCTGACCCAGAGAATCCATGAACACAATAAAATTATTATTTGAAGTAGCTAAGTTTTGGGGCAAATTTTGTGTTTGCAGTAAAAGCAACAGGAACCCTTACTTTTCTGTGCCTATCATTAATTTGTCCCTAAATTCTCTAGATGGTCAAGGACATTAGGCAATCATCAGTCCCATTTTTCCCTTAGAGATAGTTCTCCTGGAGGTCTCTGTCTTCTTGTTCCAATGTAGACTGGATGTATAGCCGTCAGCCAAGGTCTTGCTTGAATTAGAAACAGTGTAGCATGTTACTCTAAGGACATGGGCCCTGGAGCTAGGCTACAAGGGCTTGAATCCTAGATCCACCATGTGCTACCTGTGCGACTGTGCACAGGGTAGTTAATCTCTCTGTGCCTCTGATTTCTCATTAGAACAGTTCTTGGCACATGGTAAGTGCTCTTATTATTGGCAACACTGTTGGCTTATTATTCTTTCCTTCATTTTGGCCTAGGATTTCCCACTGCCTCACACCTAGGTCTGATCTCCTACTTCCTAAAGTCCATGACTTTCTTTTTCTTTTCTTTTCTTTTTTTTTTTTTTTGCATATTACATCTTTATTATATAGACTAGATGCCCGTTGCAGGAAGATTCCTGCAAGAATAGGGCTTCCAGTGGCTGGAGCCAAGCAGAGAGGGGAGCGAAACCAGCTGAGGCAGGCTTCGCTCCCACTCCGAGCTGCTCCTGCTGGGTTTCCCCTCCCACTCCCAGGCGCTTTGGCGGGTTTCCTCTCCAGCTCCCAGGCGCTGTGGCGGGTTTCCCCTCCAGCTCCCAGGCGCTGTGGCGGGTTTCCCCTCCCTCTCCCAGGCGCTGTCTCTTTTTCTTGATTACTTCTTACCTTGATAGAAATACCTCACCTACTCCCTGAAAAAAGATGCTTGGGAGGTAAGTTTTCTTGAGATCTTGCTTATCTGTTTTAAGTTGTCTTTATTTAATGTTACATTGGCAACATGACTGGCATAAAATTCTAAGTTGGAAATAATTTTATCTTTGAATACTGAAGTAAACTCCATTGTCTTGAAGCTTTCAGTGTCTCCATGGCCATTCGGATTACTATTATTATTTTTTAAAAAGTGTCCTGAGTGGGAATCAAACCCATAACCTTGGTGTATCGGAACAATGCTCTAACCAACTGATTCTTGATCCTTTGCAGGTAGGATTTTCTTTTTCTTTCTATAAATATTAGGATATCTTCTTTATCCCCAATGTTTCAAAATCTGATAATGATGTGACTTGGCATGGGTCTTTTAAAATTCATTATTTAGGGCACCAGTTCAATTTGGAGACTGAGGTCCTTCAATTTTTAGAACTTTTCTTTTAAAAAATTCATTGTTAATTTTTTTTGTCTGCATTTTCAGTATTCTCTTTTTGGGATTCATAATGCATAGAGAATCTTTTAAATTGGTCCTCCAATTTTCTTAACTTTTCTATTTTCTATTATCTTTTCATTCAAATTTCTGGGAGATTTTCTCATTTATATTTTCTATTTAAAAATATTTTGCTTTATATTTTTTATTTTATAATTCTGATTTCTCATTTTTTCTTTTTTTAATAATTGTATTACCTGAATGTGCTGGTCTAGGCACCACAGTTAGTCTTATCCATTTTATTTATTTATTTATTTTTAATATATATATATATTATTGATTTTTTACAGAGAGGATGGGAGAGGGATAGAGAGTTAGAAACATCGATGAAAGAGAAATATCGATAAGCTGCCTCCTGCACACCCCTTCCTGGGGATGTGCCCGCAACCAAGGTACAAGCCCTTGATGGGAATCGAACCCGGGACCCTTCAGTCCGCAGGCCAACGCTCTATCCACTGAGCCAAACCAGCCAGGGCTGATTTCTCATTCTTGGATTGTCATTTTTAAAATATATAACCTGCTCTTATTTTATGGATTTAATATCTCCTGAGTATACTGACTACAGTACTTTTGAAAATGTCATTTTTTTTAACAGCCTGTTTTCTTCTAAGTTCCCTCTTTTTATCAGTTTGTATTTGATTCATTCTTTTCTTTTATTAATGTTAGTTCATGTCTTTTCTTAACCCATATACAATTACTTGTCTTCTGATTTGTTGAAGTAATACATCAGACAACATTTGCCACAATACCATCTGTCAAAGTGACTGGCCATAAAAACTCCAGCACCACATTCATCTGAAGGCCATGCCTGTGAGGGCGACTGATTTTGCCATTCTAATCCACTATAGTATTTCAGGACAGCCAGCCTAACCTTCTTTCTCTTATGCTTATTCTTCTTGGGAGTGGTGTAAGACTTCTGCCTTTTCTTAGCACCACCACGAAGTCTCAACACAAGATGAAGAGTGGACTCCTTTTGAACGTCATAGTCATAGACAAAGTATGTCCATCTGCCAGTTGCTTGCCAACCAAGATCAGTCTTTGCTGATCAGGAGGAATTCCTTCCTTATCCTGGATCTAGGCCAGGGGTGGGTAACCCCTGGCACGCGTGCCAAACATGGCATGCCAGTAACTTTTGCGGGCACGCGAAACCCTCTCTTATAATCTTCCATTTACAATTTTTTTCTTAATATGGACTTTTTTATTTTTCAGATAAATTCAGTGTAGGTGCATCTTAGATAAATAAATAATTTTACATAACAAGTTATCTTAAAGACCACAGACATGGACTGACGAGAGG